CCAATTTATGGTTTCCAAATATACTTCTCTTCACGGTCGTTCGAATGAGCCAGACCGGGGTTTCAGGCCCATCACCATTGTTCTGTGAAACACAGAAAAGCATTTCTTGCCAGATTACCAACTATGTTTACAATTTTTAAATGTTATGTTATTCCATAACCGTTTGGAATTTTTATAAGCGTTCTTGTCTATGCATTGCATGGTTATCGTACATGTATTCTACCAATTTTAATGTTTTACCCCACTAATAGCTAAGCTGGAATATTTTTGTCTCGGACGGTATGCGCGGGGCAAAGTGGCCGGGGCAAAGTGGCCACCCCCCCCCCCCCAATTGGCCATAAGTTGATTCCATCTGGATAAAAAACATTATTTATATTCAAATGTGTCGTCATGCATTCATCTTGGCCACTTTTCAGTTGCATGAGTTACCTAATAATGCAATTAAATGTTTATTTTCATGAAAATCCTTTCTTTGTTTACCTACAGGTGGAAGATGATAAAGTAAACATCCATCCTCGCTTAACCTTGTCACCATCAAATACCCTAGTCGTACACGATGCAACTATTTTGTTTCTCATATCGGGATTTGAGAAGACGCCGGTGGCCGCTTTGCCCCAGGGTATGGGGCAAAGTGGCCAATATGCATAGGTTTAAAGTTTTGTCAATATCTTTCAAATGTGAACGCCTTTTGAAATAAAACGCAGTTGAAGTAAAAGGCAACTTAATAGGGATCATATTGGTATAGAAAGAATCTTTCCAAGTTTAACCCTATTAGTGGCAGGGGGGGGTTGTTTTCATCCACCCCTCAGGTTTTTCGGGAATATCTCCGAAACTGCTGAAGCTACGATGCTGAAATTTTCTGACTTTTCCTAAAACTAAATTGGGCACATTCCCTGAAAATTTCAAGTTCATAACTTTACCAAGGGCGGCTCCAGAGCACTGGGAATTGGGGGGTCCTATTCGTGAAGCGAGTCATTTGGGCGATGATCACGATGCTGATGTATTATAACTGTATGCACCAGTTTTATCATGTGATAACATATACAAAGTTATTGTGCATCCTCTTTTGACACGTTTTTGCTATAATAGGCGGATCCAGGCGTCCAAAAAGGGGGGTTATGTTTTACCTCCCAACATAGGTGCCCTGACACCGCCTATGCATGACCAATACAATTGTAGTCGTTCTCTCATAAGAAAATTGTAACATAACAAGACCATTACCACCCTTTTTAGAAACAGTACCAACAAAAACCTTATTTGCTATACTTTTTGTGTACCCCCAATCTCAATGATCTGTATCCGCCTATGATTTTTGAAAATGCATATTTTTAGGATCCATGTGAATTCCTGGTTCATTCTTTATCGATCGGCAAAAGTTGCGTTAAGATTGGTTCAGAAACCTGGCCGTGATAAGCAGTCTAAAATGTATCTGCAATTTGCCCGTTTTTACCCCCCTCAACCCCCCTTTTGACATTTTCTTAATTTTTTTTTTTAGAAATGTAGATCACGTTGAGCGAAGTCGAATGCCGTTTGAATTTTGAAAATCGGCCCGTTAGATCTCGAGATATCAAGGGGGGGTCGTAAACAGCCCCCCCTGCCACTAATAGGGGTAGCCAGGAGCCTGCCACTAATAGGGTTAAAAATCAAGCGTTGGCATCGTGAGAAGCGTTAGGGTGGCCACTTTGCCCCACTCTCCCCTACACGTCATTTTGGAGTAGTCGACAGGGCAGTGTTGACAGCTCCGGGTGTTACCGTGCCGTGCTTCTTACTTCATTTTGATGTTCATGATTCCACGGTTACTGATGTTGAACACGATATAACGGGAGCTGGAAACTGATATTTCGAAGTAAGGCTTCAACTTCTTCACGCATTGTTCACTTTTTTTCTTAACGTTTCCCTACTTTTTATTTTTAAATAACAAAACTCAATACAATTTCAATTGTCATCACCAAAGTCAAATCCTAAGAAACTGGTGAGAAGCGTGGTTTTGAGAAGGCTCATTTTGCAACTACGTGCACCATATGGTAAAATAAATACCACACTTAACTTAGGCGACTTAGGCCGGAATGATTTCTTGAGGACCTCGGTCCTCAAGAATGTTGTAGTATGTTGCGGCCCCCGGTCAACAGACATGGTAGCCCAAATCTAGTCGGATATGAAAATTCTTCTAAATCCATAGACTTTAATGTTAAATTGACTATATTTGAGAGGATTTTATGAAGATACATGACCAGATACAGAAAAAAGCGAGATGCTATCTTGTAGATTAAATCATCTACTATCTGCGACTTTTGAAGTGTTTTTCAATCTGAGGTACGGAAATCGTGTTCCCAAGAGACTGAATGTAGCCATGCTTTACATTAGACCCAATGGCAAAAATTCGGAATCTGACGAAATTTGCCATTTTTACGTCTGATTCATGAAAATTCTAGACAGGATATATAAAAACCCGAGATGCTATCAGGTAGGAAATTTCATTGTCTATTACCGCTTTTTGAAGTGTTTTTCGATCTGAGACCGGCAAATCGTGTTCCCAAGAGACTGAAAGTAACCCTGTTCTACAGCAAGACAATGGCAGCATTCTAATATTTTATGGAAGATATCTTAGGTGATAATAACCTTACTACTAATTGCAATGCTTCATTGAAAAGCTTAACACTGGCACTATCATCGGTCTTCGCATTCCTATTTCACAGAACAACAAGAAATAACGTTTTGAAGCCTTTGAATATTGACTTACTTTTCATCGACGGGCTCGATCCTCATCACCACCAACAATTTTCCGGGAAGTAAGGATTTTGCAGATATTTAAGCAGAATTGCAGAGCTGTGTTAATACTACGGCACTTAAATACACATTTTAAGAAAACCGCTTTTTTCTTAGCATGAGGTAGGTCTCAGAAACAGCAACATGTCGATATATTGAGGAAAAATAAGTGCAAATGATCGCGCAAGAGAGTATCCTTAGCTCCCTAGCAACCACCTAGCAACGTAAGGCAAAATAGTAAACAACTCCTGTTGATATCAGGTACTCAGCATTGGAAGCACACTAGACGGTCACCATACTGGGCTTCATACTGAATTTTGCATACCAGAATGGATGTTTCGAACTAGAATTATTTTTTCGCGAAATTTATCTTTGTTGCCCTACTATTTTTTGTAAAACCGAGATATACAAACTTCATGATATCAAAAATAATATTTTGAAAATGAAAACCGCTATATAAAACAAGATAATTGTTGAGATCATGCCTACTAAACTTGGTCCTACCCCCTAATTCAATATACCCTGGTATGTTGTAGTAATCTTGCCTCGGTCGTTGTTTGATTTTCCACCCTCGGCCTTCTGCCTCGGGCGGAATATCAACAACGACCTCTGTCCTCAAGAAATCATTTACCGGCCCCGTGTGGTATTTTATAATACCAACTTGGTATCGATTTGGTGTCGGCATACCAAAAAGTTGGTATCCGATTAAAGGGACTATCCCACCTTTGCATTATATTTGAGTTGAGATAGCCAAGCTTGCGGCGAGGTTCAGAAACCACTATCTATCTTGGTCGCTACCCTCGCAGCCTCGTGCTGTTGAAGAAATTCGTTCCCTTCATTTGAAAATGTTCCCTGTACAAGTCCCAATCTCTTAACCCGGCAGTTGCTGGGGTATTTCGCCACCCACCGTTTGCTGGGGGGGGGGGGGGCGTTAAACGCCCCCAGCCGATAACTCGAGAACCAATAGGCGCAGCGAAACGCACGAGGCGGCAAACGAAAGAGCGCGACGAGACGCTTCAGATGAGCACTTTAAAGTTGAATTTTGAGGTCACAGGTCGGGTCAAGGTCAGGTCAAACACCTGAAATCGGGCTTTCAGTAGCATGGACTTCAGGACTTCGCAATGGGCGCCTCTCGCCATAAACTCTGTCAAAACGGTGCACAATCCATCTTATAAGGCCTACAAGAGTGTCAGCTCCATGTAGGCCGGTCAGTCAAGCATAGGTCAGGGTCAAGGTCAGGTCAACCGGGTAGGCACATATCCCCGAAAATCAAAACTGATATTCGCAGCCTGTGACACATGTTTTATAGGTAATTTGGGGCGTAGAACACGATGGTGACATTCATTTTATCATGTGTACGTGTTTGGCTCAAAAAGTTCAATTTAAGAAATTCATGTATCATGGTCGTGAAGTAGTCACGAAAAATTGCCAAGATTCAGTTCAAGATTATGGAAAATGCGGAACGATAATCAATAATCGAAGATAGCCATTTGATTGATCATGGTATTGGCAGTCTAATGGCGCTAACGGCATGTCTGTATGTTTATTCTGTGATTTTATATGATTTTTTGAACATATGCCGTTTTTGGTCGAAAACTCAGAAATCATGACGTCACTAAAACCTCGATATCTCAAAAAATTTCCGACCGATTTTTTTGAAACTTTGTCACAATAAACTTCAATCAATTCCCTACAGGTACCCAAAATTTGGCCGCCGTTTTTGGCCCGGCGAAAAAAGTGGGGGCGTTTAACGCCCCCCCCCCAGCAACTCGCGGGTTAACTATTAACGGCAATCTGATGACGTCATTTGCCCTTTGAACGCCTGTCACGCATTTAAGTGAAGTATCACTTGATTTACGAATAAGCTGGCGTTGTTGTAATTGGCCTTGACTCGGCGCCCCGGCGGCGGCCCCGGCGATAATTGGTAAAGTAAATCCTTTATTACGTCACAGATCCAATCTAAATGACGTCACGATGAAATATAAAAGCCGCATTATCTCAAAAAGTATACGATGAAAACGCGTAAAAACTTGCAGAATTCTTCACAATATCCTGAGGAACATTTCCGAATTCTAAACGGGACTTTTTGAAGGTGGGATAGTCCCTTTAACATCTCTAGTGGGTACTGACCGGCAGGGGGGGGGGGGGGTACTGAGACCGGCAGGGGGGGGGGGGGTACTGAGACCGGCAGGGGGGGGGGGGTACTGAGACCGGCAGGGGGAGGGGGTACTCACCGGGCGCGCCGTGGCACCAGTGGATGAGCTCCTCGGGCTCGGGCCGCCGGCCGCCCAGCTCGTCCATGGCGCACGGGTAGTTGCCGTTGGCCTGCTGCAGGCTGGTCAGGAAGTCCAGTGTGGTCTTCACGTCGCGAGACACATCGGGCCGCGTCAGCAGGTAGTCGGGCACAGACATCAGCATCTGCAGTATGGCGCTGATGCCGTGAGCGGCACCTGTAACCGGCAACAACTCACGTCTCACAGAGTCAACGCAGCTCATTGGCCGCCAAGGCACCAATAACTACAAACTAGAGGTCTGCACCGGCCGGCTGCAGCCGCGGCTGGCTGCAGCCCCACGGCTATGGGTCGGGGCGGCTGCCAATATCTCCAAGATCACGGCTACGGCTGTGGCCACGGCTGTGAGATTTCCAGCTCAATCTTAAGTACTCAAATATAAAATTTTAAATCCTTAATCTTACATTCTGATAAGCAGTCTGGCCTGTAAAACTCATGCAAATGGTGCCCAGCAACATTGAAAGTGGTGAAGCCTTTGAAAACCTGTAATGGTTTTATCATTTGCCGTAGGGGAGTTTGCACTCTGGTACAGAATAGTGATTATAGGTACTAGTGGTGTCAATCGGAACTTGAATCTTCGGAATTCCGATTTTGTCCAATGTCCAATTCGGAATTCGGTTGGACAGTGGCAGCAGGATTTGGACAACTTTGGACAATCGCTTGTTACACCTCAACATTAAAAAAAAATTGATTGGCTATTAGAAAGCTCAGCTTTCCATATGATTAGCACTTTTGAGCTGGTAACGGTACATGAAAAGCAAATTAAATAACAGTGTTGAGTGTTAACTATTGCGTAGGTGTCGGACATCTTTGGACAAATGGCTGGCTTGGACATTTTTGGACGGACAGTCGACGTAAGCATTGGACATTGGACGGACTTTGGACAAAGGTTTTCTGAAATTGACACCACTAATAGGTACCAATTGTTCCTTCATCATCATGAGCTTGACAGCTTCAGAAAATGCACCATGTTGCATTGTCACATCCCTTTCAAATCAATCTTACCTGGTCATTAGGAGAGCACCTTACAGCTATTGAAGAAAAGCGTTCAATAATTATTTCAGGTAATGAAAAAAGAAATAACGCCTAGGGAAAAGCAGGTAAAGGCTTTATAAAATATTTTCTAAACTAACTCTTAGATGTATTTATGGATTTTCGGGAAGTCCAATTACATAATACAAAACTGGCGCTTTTATGCTCTAACTGGTGTGTGAGTGAACGCTACTAGAAAATGCTGATCAACGAAGCCAATGGAATTAGATTATAAGGGAGCGTAAACCTTACTTACAGTTAATTCACATGACATTGAAAACCTTGAACACGACATTTCTTACGCGAGTTGTTGACTTTACTAATGCAATGACGTCTTTTACTAAAAATGCCAAAATTTGATATTCAATCTTCATTGAGAGCAAATATTCAACTGCAAAACCTCATTATTAAATAATGATAATTTTTATGGCTGTGTGTAGAGACACTAAGAAATAATTGCTACTTCTTTCCTACTGACGTCATCAAAAACTCCAATAAACTTTTAGATTGAAAGAGGCAATTGTGGCTCGCACGTCCTTGGTGATTTGAGCGCACATTGAAGAAAAATGAAAATCAAATTGGAAAAATCAAAAAAGATGAATGTTTTTCTTTCTTGGATGCTCACTAGTGTTTTGATGCCATGCATATCAAATAAGTTTGAGACTTGCTCAGAAGGCTGCTTCAAGCCTGGCATATCACACCCCAGAAAATATGCAAGGTAAGAAGGAAGCAAGAGTCTTGACTATCAGGACAATCACTGTTTGACAATTTTTCAACTTCAGTTTCATTTTCCATAACATTGATAATGAAAAGTATCAGGGTAACTGACCCTGATACTTTTTGCCGGACTTTTTCATGCCGGACTTTCGGCATGGTTTTTGCTGGAGAGCTTCAGCAGCTCATCTGCAAGCAGTTAGGATTGAGCAAAGCGGAATTATATCAGCTAACGAAGCCAGAGAGAGAGAGCAAGAGATAAACCTGATTGACAAACTTGGGCTCGGCCAAAAAGGGTCATGCACCAGTTGTCAAACGGGTGGTTGCTTGTCATGGACAACAAACGTCACCGATCTAGCTAAAAACTAGCTAAACGATAGATCAGGATTATCTACAAAAATCAGTCTACCTTGCACCACTATCTTCGACAAAATTTTGGAATTTGGGGTCCTTCGCCTGAAAAAAATATGCGAAAACTACGGGAAAATCAGCGCAAATCACTACAATTCATCCCAAAAACATAACATATACAACATAAAAGTATATTAAAGCACACTTTGTGGTTTAACGAAGGTCTTCTGTTATTTGAACCACCCGAAAAAGGCGTGTGTGAACGTCAGATGGCTACAACGCCCCAACAGCACAGACTGCCAGGCACCCGTCGAAAATCAAATTGTGAGACATTTTGAGCCACCGTGCACTCATTCGGCTTGATATGATCAGGGTATATAGAACAACGGGTACACCAACGACGCGGAAAGCGTCCATTTTACCTGGATAAGTTACATGGTAGGTGATATATTTTTTGAACATGGAAAAAAATAGAGTATTCTATTCTGACGAGTAAAGCCAAATTCATAAAGCAGTTATTTTTAAATTATACAGGGTGTCCCAAAAGTTTTGCAACATCGCTGTCGTCTGGTTTGAGACACGTTCTTTTGTATGTACTTGTGTATTCAGCAGCCGACATAATCACCGCGTCGTCGGACACACTTCTGGATGCGTGACGGCATGCTGGCGACCAAGCTACGCAGCGTGTCCGTCGAGATTTCTCTCCAGGCCTTCTTCAGGCGTCGCTCGAGCTGGCTGAGGCTTGTGGAGGGCTCCTGCTGGTTGAGGCTCTCCTTCAAAATCGCCCACAGATTTTCGATTGGGTTTAAGTCTGGCGAGTTTCCAGGCCATTCACCTTTGGCCCAAAACCCCGGTAGATGCTCGTCGCACCATTCCTGGCTTCGTTTGGCATTGTGCGCTGGCGCACCATCTTGCATAAAAATTGCCCGCGACATTGGGTCGATGAGTTTCCTCTCTGTAATGCCGCCAGTTTTGCTTGTACGCTCGACCGCTGGCAAAAGTGAGCCCTCCAGGATTTCTGTCACGTAGTACGCGGTGTTTACCGTCTGCTTTGGGGGCACCACGTGGAGCTCAGTAAGACCCTGCGCGGTCATTCCACCCCATACCATAAGCTTGGCGGGCTGTTTGACGGTTTCCACGCGTGGCACCTGATCGCCAGACCTCGCCCAGACTCGATCATTTTGCCGGTTTGGCTTCTGCTGGAGTTCGAATACAGACTCATCGGACCAGATGACATGCTTAAATTCTTCAAAACTCCATTTTTCTACTCTCTTACAAAACGCTAATCTTGCAAGTTTCTGTTTTTCGCTCAATTTTGGCTGTTTTTGCCTCTTGTATGGCCTAAATTGCTTTGTTTGCGTCATGAACCGGTGTACACTTGACTTGGACATCGGATAACCTTTTCTTGTTAGCCTTATCGCCAATTTCCTCACGCTCTGTCCTCTTTTCCCTGCAGCTTTGGAGCAAACGATCTTGGCGACTTTGGACATGGTACTTGGTCGGCCGGAGCGCTCCATGTCGGCCAGGGATTTACCCTCGCAATGGCGTCGCCACCATCGAAAGAGAGTAGTCCGGTTGACTCCGAACCGTTCTGCGACATCCCGCTGAGCCACGTCTGCCTCCAGTAATCCAATGGCGCGCGAGCGCACAGCTTCTCGCCGCGAGACCCGCCCGGCGACCTTCATGTCTGCGACTGACCCAGGGTCGGCCAGCGGTCGCCGCAGTCAAGGTCAGCCACGCCCCGAGGCGGCATCCGCCAATGGTCGGGGTGTGTAACAGTGCCTTCTACCCATGGCAACAGAAAGACCACCGTTATGGCATTTATATCAGCGGTAAATACGTAAACAATCCAGAAAACGGATGTTGCAAGACTTTTGGGACACCCTGTATGTAGGTACCAGAAATAACATACTGACCATAGTTTAAAGCTTAGTCTTAAGTTAGTTGAAAAGCGTATAGTTGATACTAAGATGGAAGGAATCAATGGAAGGCGGAAATGGCGCAGCTGTTTCATTCTTAAAATGTGTTCGCAAGCAGGATTCACGTGACGCTAGCGACATCTATTAATGTAATCGGGGACGCTGATTGGCTGACCGAGTCAATGAGCAGTATCACTAATGTACGCCAGTACAGGGTTGAGGCAATGTGCGCATGCGCAGGAACTTGTGCTCTCATGGAGGGGCTTTTGGTACCTCGGGCAGCGCCCACTGCTTTTTGGACCTGTTATGGCCTCCGCATCGGGCATCACCCATGCAACTGGGCATCACAGGACTGAAAAGGGAAACTTACTAAGGAAACACGTTGATTGAAAATTTGACATTGTGCTTTGTTCTGTTTTCAGATCTCCAAAGCAGCAAGCAAGCATCCTGCAAGTACTATTGAAACAGATAAGAAACAGTTGCTCCACAATTTCACCATGCAATCATCATAATTGGATCAGTTAAAATGCCAGTCATTCATTACTTTCCAAAGTTGAAGTGCTTACAAGATAGAAGTATTGACAAACCATGTCATACTCATGTCAATGACATGGTTTGATGTCAAACTATGGAGCAAGCTTTAAAACAAGCGTGAAGGAATGAATCCAGTATACGTGCCTTGAATGTATGCTATTGAGTGTGTTTGTGAAATAAATGTTTCCATCACATTTCTCACCTGGTTTGTCTACGAATGAGAATCAGATGTTTACGAAAGAGAATCAGCCCGTGGCAGGATGATACCTACCATCCAATTCAACCATGATCACCTGCATGTCACGTGCACGAAATGAGATTAGGTGCTTCTTACGATAAATCAATATCACCACGAACAAGCACCCATACTTACGACTTGAATGGCAAGTCCTCACCACAATCACGGTCAGGTCTGCACAATGCACAATCCACACCACGTTTATCATTATGGATACACTGCCATTTCTTTTGCGTATTCTTCCATCAAATCAGTAAATATCGATTTCCTGCTTTCTCGTCCACTATTGGGCAGAAAATGATTTTTATGCAGGAAAAACTGATATCAAAAAATTAAACACTTTTTTTTACCGTGATGCGCATTATTTGTCG